CATTCCTGTCAAAATACTGTGCCATGTAACATTTCTTCTGGCAGACCATGCGTGATCTTACATCTAAGGCTAGTACTGTAATGAAATCTTGGCTGCAATACTCGTGACACACGAACCATTTCCACAGGGTTTAGAGCTCTTTTGCCTCCCTGAAAGAATTAGAAAGCAGTAGGCAACTCTGCTGCTGTCCAAAGTGTCTGCACACAGCGGTGCCTATGTTAGTTCAGCGTGCAGCCTTTTTGTCTTGGCGTGTGAGGGCATCCTTGCATCCTGTCGTCTTCACACCCACGGCCCTTGGAGCGCGTCAGGGATTGTGCCTTATAACTCCTCCACATACCCATGGAGACTGCAGAGTATGATTAGTATTGACTAGTCAGGTTGAGTTGTTAATGCTTCTGGGGACTTCCTTGTCCTTTCAAATGGAAGGGTTAGATGCCCTGCTGTGTGTGCCAAGGTTTGGAACATCTCTGCTTTTGTGAAACACACCAGAATCTTCTGCTCTGGAAATCCAACTTTGTAAGCTGTAAATAGTTCTCAAATGTGTCAGTACATGGATGTGAATGTAGGAACAGAGGATAAACTCTTACACTGCAAAACAGGAAAGTTAGATTCCACAGGAAAACTAGGAGCACTGTGCTGGCAGGGAAGACGACTTTGTGACTGCTGGCAGTGAAGTTCCTGGAGGCTGGAGAGCTGGTCCCTGGCCTCAGGCAGATGTCAGTTTGATTCTGGGTAATGCCACTTATAGCAAGTGTTGTAACGATGCCTTCTTCTGTCTTCCAGATCAGTGTGCGTGTTACCACCATGGATGCTGAGCTGGAGTTTGCCATCCAGCCCAACACTACAGGGAAGCAACTCTTTGATCAGGTAAGTGATGAATGGAGCTGCAGAAGATATGAAGTTGATGCGGACATTGTAATTCTATTAAGGCACCAGCAAAAAAAATTCTAAAGGACTTCAAAAATTGAGTGACACTAATCATATACTAACTTAAGAGAACTCAGCATGATAAGAAATTATACCTCTGTGCTTCCAAAACTGCTAGGATTTTTATCTCCAAGAATGTGTAAGGAGCAATTCTTACTTCTAGTGAACAGAATTGGTGCTATGGCTCACAGTGATAGTTCCTGGAAAGAGGTAGATATTCGCCATCTTAATTTGTAAGCAAAGTCTTGTGGGGGACCTAGTAAGCTGTTTCTGGTTGACTTACTTGTAAGCATTGTGTAATTGATCTCAGAGAGCAGTTGGTCTCTAAAACAGTAGAGGCTTACCCGCGTTTCAAATACTTCTGCAGCCCTTCAGTGCAGGTGGAGTGGTATTTCTTACTGCCATCAGGCCCTCATTTTTGAGGAATGTTCTTCATGTGGGTGCTTCCCATGATTATTTTCAATATCTGTCTTCTGACGTTGTCCAAGCAAAGCACCAGGTGCTGAGAAGACATGCTACTGAGCTTGGTAGCATTTTTAATCTGCACATGATATTTTCAGTCAGCTCTAGGTCGTCTGTGGCTCCTGCTGCAAACTGACAGTGTGTTGGCAGACCTGGGCTGCTTCAGCTTGTCTCTGAGGAGCATCCAGTCATGTCTCCAGCATGGCAGCTCTTCATGACTTAGTGATTGATTTCACTTCTTTGTGTTATGCTCTGGACAGCTGTGCGTTCTCCTCCCTGCAGTGTGTTTAACACAGCACCTGTCTAAACACTACTTTTGTTTTGCTTTTTCCATAGTAAACACTTTGCCAAGGGAGGAAGTAAATGCTGTTGCAGAACCCAGTTTCTAAGTTGCTAATGTAAGTGTACAGTGTCTACTTCAGTTAATGGGGTTGTAGCTGGAGTTAGAAGAGGAAATACAGTGGGGGAAAGGTGTCTGAAGCTAGTTTTAAATGTTTGGTATTTTTAAAAGGTCTGATTGACACCATCTCTTCTTTATTGTTCATGCGTCGCTCACTGGAGTAAGAACTAAACTTTTCTACTGCCTAGAACATAAGATTTCCTTGTGGAGGTGGTGGTGTTTGATCCTGCTAGGGCTGACACTGTCCTAGAGCCTCACCAGTGGCAGATGAGCAGGCTTTGGCTGATCACTAGTCACAGCAGTGGTAGGTGGTGGTAATGGTGGCAGAAGGACTTGCCCTGTGCCAGGGCTTACAGCTTGTGAGCAGTAAGGTAGGGAGTTGGCAGTAGATGTGGAGATGTGCAAGGTCTTCCACCTCTAGCATGAATAAGGAGTTTTGAGGGCTACTGCAGTGTGAGTGGTTGAGGACCCTAATCCCAGTTTCTGTTGCTGCCCTGCCATCATTGGCCCCTCACAATTAAGGGAACTAATTGCAAAGGAGGTTCTCATTTAGCTCCTGCCACAAGGCAAAGCTTTTCCTCTGGTTTCTGAATGAAGGTACATAACAGACTGTCTGTCTGGTTTTTTTATTATCTCCCCTCCAAAAATTCAAAGCTCTTTTCTTTTGCAAAAGTGTCTTTATGCATCAAGTAAAGCAAGTACTTGTTGTACACGGACCTGCTCAAACAGGTGATTGATCTTTGCATGACTAACTAACTGAATACCAAACCGAAACATGAGAGCCTCTGGTGAGCTGACAGAAAGTACTAAACTTGCTCCCCTAGGATAGGGATGGAGCTCCGAATAGCTTGTCAGCTGTCCTGTGTGCAGCAGGTTCCGTATGGCCGAGCTGTTGATGTGTCCCTGTAAAGGGACAGAGCAGTGCATTGTCCCTGCTGACACGGAAAGGGCACTGAGCAGTGACTGCTCTTTGACTGGTCATCTGTTCACCTGCCTCAGTTGCTGTCCTTAGGCACTCTGGGCTCCTGTGATGGGGTGTTTAAGAACAAAGTTTATCTTCTAGCTCCTTTATGTTATGTTGTGCTCCTGGACTTGATAATCTAGTATCTTCTGCGTGATGCTGGTTCTGAAAAAGCAGCTACTTTCATTGCTGCTTGTTCGAGGGGAGAGTTTCTCTCCAAAGCAGACTCACGGTTTTGCAGTTGCAGCATACTGAGCTTCTGGTATGAAACCTGACTTTTGACTGTCTTACAGAAAAATTTTAAGATAACCAGCATGTTTTTGCCCTGGAGTGCCCTTCCACTTTGAGCTGTTCTGAGTCAAGCAAGAAGGAAGCTGCAAAGCATTACCAAGTGTGCCAGCTGCACTGCTACCTCAGTGCAGTCCACTGGCTTTGTTCAGTGACTTTTGGGCAGTATTTGTTTCCACCTGTTGTGGTTAAAGGTAGATAAATATATTCATTGTGCCACATGTAATTCTGACCTACATTGAACAGGATTCAGAAGACTTTTGGATAGCTTGTTGCAGGGCATTAGCCTGAAGAGGAACAGTTTGAGTCTGAAGTTCCATAGTAATAATAAGTAAATGGGCTCGAGGTGGAAATGTTCCTGTCTTCATCTGTCCTGCTTGGTTGCATTCCAAAGTGAATCATTGTGGTGGCAGAGCAGTGCAGATACCTCACTGCTGTGTAGGAAGTAGCTGGCTATAGAAATACCACTGAGCTGGTACACATACTGTGCAGTAACATCATGATTTAAATTGGAGATCTTCCTATTTCCTGGGGCTTTTAAGTGCACAGCTTTAGCTCAAATTGGTTAAGCTTGTGTGCACGGACAAACCCTGGATTGACTGAGACAGGAAGGTTGTACTGTCTGTCTCCTGCAGCTTTGTTTATGTGCCTCTGAAGATCAGCTGCTGAACTCCAGCGCTTACCGACTCACTAGCCAGAACAGTAGCTTTGCTGCCCTTCCTGAGCTGCCAGTGATGGGTTAGAAGAAGAGCTCGAGGATAGGCTATGCCTGTTGGGGTGCTGCTTATCCCACGTGCCTGACTACTTCACAGGTACCTCAAAATACTGCGTTCCTGGGGGCACAGAGCACAGGCAATACTGCAGTGAGAGCTGCTTGTTCTCCTTCTTGGACTCTTTCCTGTGTCAGACTGAAGTGTAGTTGGTCTGGAGAGCAGGGTGTGAACCAAAGCAGTGCTTTGCTCTGTGTATCTCCTGCACATTAGCCTCTTCTCTGGTTAAGCTTCTTAGCTGCTTACTGATGTGGATGGCTTTGTAGTTGTCCCTCTCCAGTCTTTTTCCTTTCAACTTCCTTTTTTGGGGTGAATTGGTTCTTGCTTGAACCAGTGAGATTTTGGCCTGTTGTGGTGTGAGGGGGCTTGCCTGTACCTTGGACAGGGAGAGAGGTGATAACTTGCTTGCCCAGGTGCTGCACAGCTGGTGGTTGGGCCCTCACAGGACCGCCCTGGCTCGGTGGCTGCTGCTGTGGACAGACTGCTCAGCAGGCTCCATGCAGAGCCCTCACAGAATCCTCAGCTGCTTGGACTTCCACGGTATGCGAACATGCTCCTATTCCTGTGTCCCTGTGTGCTGTATGATGCAGCTCATCCAATGCTTTGTTTCTGGTCACCCCCAACTTTGGATCCTGCTGGTGCCTTGTTCTTTCGTTCCCTTCAGAGGTCCTTGTTCCCTCCTGCCTCTGGTGGAGGAACCTTGTCTGTCTGCTCTGCTGAGTCTGCTGGGTGATGAGTGCAGTCACTGGGTGGGGTTTTCTACCCATTTGATAGGCCTTACATCAGGATCTTTTTAGTAGGGAGTTGTGGTTACTAAACTGTTCAGTCAGTACTTCCTTCCCCAACCTAAAATGAACTCTGTTTCTGCAACTTCAGAAGAGATTTACTTCTCAGTGATGTGCTCAGTGCTCTCTGAGGCTCTTGCTGACCATGTAAACTTCAGTCCTTCCAGTGCTAGTTTTTGGACATTGCAAAGTCCAGGAGATGGTTGCTTCAGCAGGCCACTCCAGAACAAGCCTTTAGAGTAACCACGAACATCCAGTCTCCTTAAAGGTGATCCCTGTCCGATTCAGAAATCAAGTCACAGGTTAAGGAAAATGTGACATGAGAAAAACGTTAATATCTGTTACTTCAGACTTTAAAAGCATGTGGTTAACCTTCCTAAGAGGCTTTTCCTCATTTTTATGAGCTTTTGGGGTCAAAACTAAGCTTGTAATAGTGCACTCAGCTTTGGGTTAAAATTTTGACACTAAGCATCTCTGCTCACTCTAAACCTGGTCACTGATGCTGTATTTTTGTTCAGCACTGAGTCTTGTACACAGTGGAGTATGGAGGGAAAGCCTGAACTTGATATTTTTGTTGTGGGTTTTTTTTTTTTTTTTTTTAATTCTGAAGGATCTTTCAGATTTCCTGAAGAGCCATATCTCCTAAGATTCTGAGGTCATGTGCCCTGCCCTGGCTTACCCTGCCTGGCTTGTCTAGCTGCCCAGCCACCGAGGTAGTCATGCAACTGGAAATCTTGGTGATGCTTAGCAGCTTCCTTCTTGCTTGACTCATCTGCTGCAGTGAGTTTTGTGGTTTTGTAAAGTACTAGTTTGTCAATCTCTGCTTGCATGGTTGCTAAAGGTTACAGCACAGGCTGACCAAAGCCCTCTCAGCTTTGGGTAACTCCTGATGAGCTGTGTTTGGTGTGTCATGAACTGCAAACTAAGCTCTGTGAGGAGGGAGTTGTAGAGAAGATTTTAGCGTTGGTAATGTCCTACCTAGTAGTGTTGAAACACAGGAAACAGCTCTGGAGCACCTGATGCAGTAGATGAAAGCAGTGAACCAGAAACTCACTGTGGGAAGTTCATGGTAGAAAGCAGCAAGCCCCGGGACAATGACTGGTTCCTCCAGCAAACCCCAGAACTCTTGTTCATGTAATGAAGGCTTGTGGTTGAGTGGTATGAAAAACGTGTCTCAGATTTCACAGGAACATGTGGAAACTTGCTGACTTTTAGAAAAGCAGTAGTCCAACCAAAAATGGACTGCTTGTTGCTGAGGAGGTCAATGACAAACAGTACTAAGATCAAAACCTCAAAGGAAATCCTGTTGTTTAGCGCTCTGGCACTCTGGCTCTTTGAAAGGGAAAGTCAGAAGCATATATATAGAAGTATATAGCTAAATGGAGAGAGGACAGCTGAATATATGTGGCTGTAGCCTGTCTTGGGTGTTAAGTTAGGGTACCTGGAAGACCATGTTCTAGATTGGTTCTTACTATGGCATATGAAACTGCAGGTGAGGCACCAGTTCAGAGCTCATCCAGCAATAAGGTTTGCTGGCAGTTTTCTCTTGAAAGTACTTGAGATACCTATCATAGAGAGGGAGAGAGGCCCATCTTATCTTTCACTAGGATAACATTCATAACACTTATGCTGTGGTGTAGCCTGAGATGTTTTGGGCTTTAGTGCAGGAACTTGGTCCAAGTGGAATGTCCACTCTGCTTGCATGCTTTGGTCTTGCTCACGTGTAAATTGTGCTTTCTTCAGGATCCTCACTTGTTTGCCAGTGTGGTGTTGCATTGCCTGGGCTGAGAATGACAGCAATCTTCGACCATCACCTTGATGCTAAAATATACCTTTAAGAGGCTGCTTATGGCTCCCTCTTCTGTTGTGGAGCAGCACCCAATGGCAAGAACTTAGTTCGGAGGGAGATGGATGAGTGCTGAGGGGATGAACAGGAATTGTAACGCAGACCTGGAAGACATGGAATAAGAAGTGAGAGTAAAGGTTACCAGAAAGACCTTGTGTTTCTTCTCTGAACATAAGTAAAAAAACCTACTAATGTGTGCTTTGGCTGTAGCAGGTGAAGTGAGTCACCAGAAATGCACCTTTTCCATGGGCAGTATTGCTTACTGAGTAGCATTTTAAGCTAAGGGCACTACTTGATGAAGAACTTTGTTTTGAAGGTACTGTGGGACAGCTGGACTGTAAGGCTGCCTGCAATCTGTTGTCAGCTGTAGACCAAGCCTTTATCCTTCAGGCTAAGCAAGACCCAGGGACTGGCTTAATGCTCTCCCTGGCATGAAGGGAAGTTGTTGCTCTCCAGACTTTAGGTATTTAAATACACTGGTCTGTGTTAAACCGTGCTCTCTATTCTCCCATCCTGTGTGCCAGCCCTTCTTCATCCTCAGGCACTGCCAGGAGCTGTTTGCTCTTTGGAGCATCTCACAGCTCTTCAGGGCTCTGAATGCTGTACACCCCCAGGCATAATTAAGCTTCTAACTGCAGCCAGACTCCTTGCAGCTGTAGAAGGCTGTATCTTCATGTTTTTTCCCTTGCTAAGTGGAACTAAATAACCTGCTTAAAGCTGAGTAGG